TAATATAGAAAGCGTTTAAAATGATAGGTACTGTGTTCGAGTCTCAATGTGAACATCAGTATGTGTTCATGAACAGCCTGATGATGCGTTTCAGATAGGACGAAGTAAAATTATTTATCAATTTCTTTGATTTTACTAACGTTGATCAACTAACCACTTTTTTCTTATCAACTTAAGAAAATGCTTGTTATTCACATATTTTAGATTAAAGTTAGTTCACATTACAAACTAACTTTATCTAAACAACCATTAAAAGTTAGAGAGCATTAAAAGGTTTTTTTTGTTTTAGTATAAAAATCTTCAACAGTATGCACTAACAATATCTTCCAGGATCAAAATCATGACGATTGAGCCAAGATGCTAGTGAAACACTTTCAGAACATAGAATTAGTAACCAGTTATTCCTATTCCCTACTCTGAACTATTTGCAAAGTTTGGAAATCGTCCATCCATTAAAATCGGTGATACATATTTTACCATTAATATAAATGAAATACACATGTGATTATGTTCAGTCCGACCATATAATCAATGTATGTTTATTTTTTAATTATTTTTACCGACTAAACGGAATTAAAACTAATATCAAGAAAATTTTATAGTTTCCCCTTGATATTCATTTGATATTCCATTGTACTATTTAAACTTGGATTAATTTTAATTTGGTTATTTATTCTCTGAAGAAGTGACTTACACTAAGTCACGAAACGTCAGAAAATCCAATTTTCTACTCATTGGGATATTACAAATATATTATTTTTATTTACATTATTTTTATTTATCCATTTGTATTTATCAACTAATGTGTAATTAACGATTAACAAAACATAAAATTACACAAAACATTAAATGTAAATCATAAATAAGCATTCTAATCAGAACATTTTAATCATAAAGAAACTTTATTCAATCAATAGGGATAAAACTAACTTTTCTCATTGAAAATCAATATAATATCTGAGAGTGAAAAAAACACTTTTCGATAGTGATTAATCAATTCATAATGATTTTTTTTCAAATGGTTTCTCTTTTTATTCTTCTTCTTCAAAAAAATAGGGACGATCATTTTCTCTATTTGGAAATGTCCGGTAATTCGTTGTGAGCATAAATTAAATCAAATAAGTAAATGAAGAAATATATATATATATATATATATATATATATATATAGTTACTGACATGGCGGTCATAAGTTATGCTTCATTGTCAAGTCTTAAATTTATTGATTAGCTTTGTAATATACAAGAATAATTTTTACAGAAGACTCTAGTCAATATGATTTGACTTCCGACTTTATTTATTATCGTATATTTTGTATAAAATCGTATGAAGAATTGATCTATTAAAAATGCTTAGTGTCAAGGAAATTTTCGTCATTTATTAAGATAAATTTGAGAGTTAAAGTAAATTAGATAGCACTCCATAGCGGCTTTACTCTAAGTAATACTGTGGTGAACAGAACACGGATGGGGACAATCAAATGTATTTAACACAAAATTAAAGGACTTGTTAATAAAATCTAACAATCATAAAGTAAATGCTTATTTTGCAAAATGTCCACCAATTATCTCAAAATCACTCAGACTTCATTGTCCTTGCATTTTCATATAAGTTGGATTCTGTTTCCATTCTTTACTGTTCAATCCTCTTGTCTCTCTGCTGCCAGACCTTCTGTTCACGACTAACATCATATACTATTTATGTCAATATAAGTAGCACACATCACAATACTTTTCAGTCTAATACTACATCGAACTCAGTCTTTTCAGGTTTAAATTAACTGAAATATAACTGAACCAATGTATTAACTCTAGTTAATTCATAGCTTTCTAATGCTAAACTATACTGAGTGATACTGCGGTTGATGTTGCTCTATAATGACAATCGATTTCAAATTATATGAATCGTCTTAAATACAACTATGTGAATAAAGAAAAGTCAGTTAATAAGTTTATTTAAATTACTGATTGTTGGAAATTCATTTAGAAATATCTTATTCACACCAACATTTTTAACAATCAAAGACATCATTCTTAAGGGAAAATAAACTGCAAAAAGTCGATTATATCATCTGAGATGATTTTATTTTAGTGTCTTCGATCTGGAAATAATGAAATAATTTGAAAGTGAATCAAAATTAATCATCTGTGTTGGAACAAACAATATATGAACTCAAAAATGATAACAGAGTTATTAAGTACAAATAGTAATGTTAATATAAATCAGTTAAATGTTATAAACACAACAAAAATTAGAAACGTTACTTAATTCAGCAGGTTTGTGTGTGTTCCGATTGAGTCTGGTACCAAAATCCACAATTATAGATGATTGAAGATTCAGTAAGATTGATGTCCTACCAGTGGTATACCCAAACGTAGAATATGATATATTTTGATTATAGTCTATGAATGTAGACGGTATCTGATTTAGAGTTCAGTTAACACAATCACGAGCGAATGGAGAACAAGCGGTATGTGTGTAACAGTGTATTTGTTAGTACGTGACAGCGTGTGTCATGCTATGAATGTAACACGACAGAAGAAAGTGTGTTCAAGGTCATACACTTAAACAACACGTACAATCCTTTACTGATAAGTGTACATTCAGTGATAACTTGACAGAATAAATACAAATAGCATCAAAAACTATTTACAAAATAAGCTTGTCATGCATATTTCCACACATTTAGCGAGAATTAAAAATAAATCACCAGGCTTAATATGAGATAGGTGCTATTGATTCAGTTAAGAAGTTCTAATGCATAAACGAATACTAATACTCTAGTTATGATATTTTCTGAATATTTCCTTTAAGCCTACATTATTTATTCTAACTGTATTACATTATATATCATGAGAGTTCTATTGGATTCAGTCTGTATCTCAGTAATTGATGAATAAATAATGTGTAATATAATCATGTGTATTTATTGATTTATCGATTTCACCTTCGTGTTGGACGTTGAATAAGTTTTTAAATATGTCAGAAATTTATTCTAAAATTATGGGAACTGCTTTATGGACTATGGAACCAACCGATGTATAATGATATCTTTACTACCGAATACATTTAAAGTGATACAAAGAAATGTGAAAGAAATATGAACGGATAAGATGATTAATCTTATTAAAATATGTTAAGTTAGCAGAATGGTTTTGAACAAGTTTAGAAATAATTGAAACTTCTTTTGAACATGATCGATAGAATTTAATCTGAACTAAGAAGAACCTGATATACATGAAATTGATCGCAATCCAGTGATCGATCAATTATAAATACATCTCAGTCCTTCAGAAGGTAAGTCGCGGCCTGGATAGCTCAGTCGTAACGTCTATGACTATGAAGCTGGGTGATGTGCGATCTGATCTGCCAGAAAGCATCAGTTCCCTCAAGATTACAGATATACCTTCCTAATGAGTGTCAAGTAGCAGGATATCTAGGTCCAGAGTTTCCTGTTGACTGTTTCCAACCACTTACTCCTCGTAAAATGCAAAAAGTCATTCATATTTATCTTAGTACTTCTTGAAAGTGATGAAAGTATCTCATTTCCGAACAAGATAAAAGATACTCTACACTACATGAGTACCAGTTATTGTTCTTTGTCTGGAATTTACTTAATAATGAGTATTTATCATTAGTTTAACCGCAGCCTTTTTTCCAATCACCCTAATACGGTAAATAAGGCAGTCAAATAATCAGTTCTTAATTCATTTGCTAGTTAGTAACTTCTAATTGCTTATGACATCTAATCTTATTTTTAATTTTTTCGTTATGCCTGTTATTTAAATGGAAAACATAATCTATACTTCTGGTTAGTGGTCTTATCATTTAGTGGGAGTTATTTAGAAGCTTAAGTCAATAACTCAGTTTTTTTTAAATACTAGTCATTCATCTAGATTGTTTCATTGTATTTTATTAGTAGATAGGTATTCTCTTCATTTATTTTAACTGTATTTAGACAGTCCATATAATGGCCAAGCTCTACATCTATAATAAACAGTTCAACAGCTAAACCATTGAATGTTAGATATATAGCATTTAGGTGGCACCATACAAATTTCACAATGTAACAGAATGTGCTTAGCTACAATTTTCATTTCAAACTTTAAAATCTTATAATTTTTAATCAAATAAGCTGTAAAAAGAAAAAAAAATTAGTTGAATCTTGGATATAGTAAAAATAAAATACTTTTGATAAACTAAAACTGTTGTGAAGATTAATTCGATGTAATAATGAACAATGTGATAAATTAGTTAGACATATCTATCGTCGGCAAATGTCTGAATATCATACCAATAGGAATGTAGAAATGTATATGTCCATTAACGTCAAAAATACCGAACACAATTCATTTAATTTGGCTTCAGTTCAAGCTGAAATATTTCAATTAAGAGAGAACAGCATTTATAGGTACTTTATACTAGATTTCGGTGTAATTTTTTTCACACATTGTATACATACCTAGAGCTTGAGTTCATGATAGTTCATAATAGATGTGAGCTAGGTAACGATTGATTTCAGTAAGCCGATGGCTCTAACTACCAGTACAATAAGCCTGATTAATAATGTAAGTAGCCGTGACGATCAACACCAGATTCTCTCAACGAAAATTTTCTACATAAATGTCAGGTTGTAATGAAAATAGCCTTCAAATTATGTGAATTATATAAATCTATTTCAATCACTAACAATTATGGGCTCACTGATAACTAACCTTGAGATGGTTTAGCTAAAGGTCTACTAGCCAGCTATTACCAGGTAAATCAGATAAGTGAGCAATAAAACGGTAACTCACTGATCACAAGTGATTAGAATCTTTTTAAACTACAAATTGGTTTAATTAAGAAATATACACGATTGTATACCGATTCAGCTGCTAAACTGCATAGTGAAACATTAAAGACGTTAACCACAATTAAATGTTTAAAACACTGGATAGATTGATAAAACCATAATAATCACTGTTATTTCGAATATATTTAATTATGTATCACTATACTCTAGTCCACCAGAAGTGCAAAATTTACACTCATCTTATTAGGCAAATTTACTGTCTCACAATGGATTTGTATCAAAACATTTTTCTTGACATTTTGAAACTGAAGAAAGATTAACGGAGACTGATATGATTCTTGGTTTAAATATGGAAAATATTGATGAGGAATAAAAGCGCATTGTCGTCCACATCCTTCTTCTGTATGTATATAAGCATCATACAGACAAATTGTACCTAAAAGAATATCGTCATTTGGATTAGCTCCTTTACAACATATCTTAATCCCATTCTCATTTGATCGTATATCAGGCAACCAACCATAGAGACGATTAAGTTTAATTATTACACAAGGTGATCCACTGTCATACCCAAAATAATTGTTGATATTACATGCATAAGACCAATCCAAATTGAAAAGGCAGCTTGTTTCAACTAATGTTCCATAAGTTAAAGCTTGGGAATCATTCTGCACTGAACAATCGCGCAAATTGTTTCCTGTGTATGAGTAATATTCATACTGCGATAGGAATGCGATAAGCATGTCTTGAAAGATAAGAAAAGTATCAGGTTTACCATCCTACAGATGAAGGAAGAAAAATTTATCATAATTAAGGAGGTTAAATGAGTATATAAAGGTTTGTAATATATGACAAACTTGGTAACATGTTATGGGTACTAGAAGTTTGGTACATCACTCATTTCACGTAGATGGCCATATTAAGTAATAATATAAGCAGCATCGAACGAATACAAGACGAAGTGTAGTATCCCTGAGGTTAACCGTAAAGTAATCTACAGAAAAAACAGCCTAATTGTCACATGATTCATTTGTTTGTAGAATTCAATACTAAATGAAAACTGTGAATGAATGCTACAACTGATTTCTCTAGCCAAACTTTAAAATAATAAAACTAAAATTATCATTCTCAATGTACTCATATAAGAAGCAGATTGTTTCTATAAAATAAAAAGTGGAATTAATTCCTGATCGCATCTTTTGTTCTTCAAATACCATGATGCTGACGACTGAATCAGTTAAACAATATGGATTTAATACGTATTAGTTTCTAATCTTATTTTTAACTTATTGTAGCTAATCATATTGACCACCTCGAATATGTTTGAAAGTCATATAAGGCCTGTTAGGTTTGTGTTAGACGAGATCGTAGGATAGATAAAGGCTTATTTAGCTTTTAGCAACTTACATCGTTTATCACACATTTAGGATGTTCATTTTCGAAAGAAGAGCTGAGTATACAACTGAGAAGTTTTTTCTCTTCTTATGGCCGTGAAATATGACCCTTAATAGTATTGGTCATTCAAAGTTCACTGGTATTTGACTAAATCTAAGACTATCCATATAGGATTGTGGAGATTGTTGAGTTTCATTGAAATCATGAGCCGATCAATTTTAGATCAATAAACCTTTGGTATTTTTAGGGAAAAAATTTATGATGTATTTAAGTTCAAAAAAACCTTCAATTTTAACACTTTGAAGCCTTATTTTGAAGAACATTTGTTCTGTAATTTTACGCAAAGTAAATTATTGTAAGCAATGATGGACAATGGCTAGCAGTGGAATCCAGGATGCGCACTTCATCCTATTCGGGACTCGTCAGCTGGATGTGCCTGCATCTCAGAGTTGATGTTCACTCTGAGACTCGAACCCAGTATCATTCGCTTCAAACCCCATCGCGTTATCCACTCAGCTACTGTGTCCTGATAGCCACTTGCTTGTGCAATGGGGTGAATTTAAATTCACTTGGTATTGTTTTGCTTGTATCTTCCTATTGAGGTTTAAGACTGCAATTGATCAGTCTGTTAATGGCATATGTGCATACTGTGCGTATGCCTCGATATTGCCTTAATTCATAAGCTTTTTGTAAGCAATAATGGATAGTGGCTAGCAGTGGAATCCAGGATGCGCACTTCGTCCTATTCGGGACTCGTCAGCTGGATGTACCTGAATCTCAGAGTTGATGTTCACTCTGGGACTCGAACACAGTGCCATTCGCTTCAAACGCCATCGCGAAACGAAACGAAACGCGCGTCCTGGATTCCACTGCTAGCCACTATCCATTATTGCTTACAAAAAGCTTATGAATTAAGGCAATATCGAGGCATACGCACAGTATGCACATATGCCATTAACAGACTGATCAATTGCAGTCTTAAACCTCAATAGGAAGATACAAGCCAAACAATACCAAGTGAATTTAAATTCACCCCATTTCATAAGGAAATCTTTACTGGATTTATATTAAGAAGGAAGTAAAAAAATAACTTTTTAATAATATCAGAAGGGGTTTGTGGAGATTTTAGAAATTTCACAGCTTGAAATCATGAGTCAATTGAAGATAGACCACCATGGAAAACCTGGAAGTACTGGACGGCCGTTTCGTCCCTGTATGGGACTCCTCAGTAGTACGCATCCACGACTGACACATGGTTTCAATGTGTGAATGAATTTGTGTCTAATCCATCAGCAATATTTGGATTGAGCTCCAGGAGTCTAAAAGATATACTTCGAACATTGAATGTGTAAACTATTGGCAATTTTATGTTTATTTAAACAACATTCAGAATATCATTGTTCGTATACGTAGTAGTAAAAAACATTATAACTACAATGGTATCTTTTATTGTTTAAGTGCCTTGGGAAGATTAGTTGAACTTGTCAGAGAGCACTATGCAAGTGTTTTGTCAAAGCTGGGAATAATGGCCACTGACTTAGAACTTAATATTTCAAATATATGCTGCTTATCTTGAAAGCCACATTTCTTTCCGTCTTGAAATCGCGGACACGTACAACTAAGGAATACTAAACTAAGATAAAACAACTCATAATTAATTCCCCGATTTCCGTTAAACTTCATTTGGTATCACCACCTAATGGAAACTATTTTTACAATTATACATTAGCTCAATGATCATTTTACTGATTAGATCATGATAGTGTTTAACATAATAAGCTCTAAGGACAATAAATTGAATATCTTGAATAGCATTATCATTTTATTATTGGAAAATGAATTTAATTTGTACCTACACTCGATATACTGCAGAAGATTTATATTTACTTGAAACAGAAAAAGTAATTTTCAAACAATAAGGAAATAATCAAAACGGTTTTGTGGATATTATAGCAATTTCAATGGTTGGGATCATCAGTCAATTGAAGCTAGACCATCATTGAAAACTTGGAAGCACTGGACGGCCGTTTCGTTCTATTGTGGTACTCCTCAACAGTGCGCATCCACGGCCTCGCGAGATTCAAATCCAGGACCTATCAGTGGAGTTCAACCAGGTCTGTTGTGAGATATTAACTCACTGAAGACAATTGTAGATGTAACGCTCAATTTCGTAGATTAGTTGAAGTTACACACTAACACCATTGGATGCCACCCAGCTCAGTGGTCTAAAAGTTAAGCCTTCACGTGAGAGATTGATAGATCCTGAGTTCGAATCTTGCGAGGCGAGATCGTGGATGCGAATTTCTGAGGAGTACCACAATAAGATGAAACAATCATCTAGCGCCTCAAGGTTTTCCATGATGATCTAGCTTCAATTCACTCATGATCTCAATCACTGAAATTAATAATGAAATAAATTAATATTCTTTATAGTCAACTACTAGTATTGACTCACTTTATACGCAACTAGATTCATTTCAGTTGAAATCACTGGAACAATTGATAAACCTGGTGTATTTTGTAATGATGAATAACTTCCAGTTAAATATGGTTTATCAGCATCAATAATTTTGTATAAAACTATTTTCATAAAACATATAACCATAATAAATAATAATGTATACAATAATACAAAAAAGATAAGTAATTTGAATAAATATAAACATTTACAATCTCTAAAGTGTAATGTTGTTTTAAGTGGTTTGTATAACCAAATTGGATCTTGTTTTTTGTTGATTTTATATCTTTTTCGAAGGTAATGCATTTTTCATTGAGAATAACTTACAAATTGTTATATATATATATATATATATATATATATATATATATATATATATATATATATATATATATATATATTAAATAGATAGATAGATAGATAGATATGCATTATATTGAAACACTTCCATCTGATGTTTAATTGGAACGATGATAGTAATTCTCTAATTCATTGATATATTGTAAAAATGTACGTATATTTACAGAATCAATTGGATAATTATTGGAAAGTGAATTAAATAAATTAAACAAGGAAAAAAAACTAATCTCATTTTTCAATTTTGTTGTCATAGTACTTACAAATATATGTGAAACGATGAGAACAAAAATGATTTTATTGAAAATTATATCATTGTTTCCAGGTATAAATTAAAATTGTACCTATAAAATATTGATACATAAAATACGGATATAAATAGATAATATTTAAATGCTTATCAAATTAAGTAGTCTATCTAAAATTAAACGATCATTTTTTTGTAATTTTATTAGTTGAGATCATGAATCAATTGAATCTAGACCACCATGAAAAACCTAGAAACACTGGATTGTTGTTTCGTCCTAGTATGAGACTCCTCAGCAGTGCGCATCCACCATCCCGCCTCGCGAGATTCAAATTCAAGACCTATCAATCTCGCATGTGAATGCCTAACCACTGGACCACTGAAATGGGCGACATCCAAAAGTGTTAATATCTAACTTCAACTAATCCACGAAATTGAGCGATACATCCACCATTGTCTTCAGTGAGTTAATATCTCACAATAGATCCGGTTGGACTCCAGTGGTCACTGCTTCTCACTAGAACTCCAGGAAATACCTCTTGTTTTTTAGTTGAAACAATGAACGACAGTTATGTTTAGCACAAAAAACTTCGTAATTAAACTAATTTATCTGATGATTTTTTGAATCGGCGTAGATTGAAGTAGTTAGGACATCTGTAACATAAATCCAGATACTGCATACTTACTTACTTACTTACTTACGCCTGTTACTCCCAATGAAGCATAGGCCGCTGACCAGCATTCTCCAACCCACTCTGTCCTGGGCCTTCTTTTCTAGTTCCATCCTATTCTTGTTCATTTTTCTCATGTCTATCTCCATTTCCCGGAGTAATGTGTTCTTTGGTCTTCCTCTTTTCCTTTGACATTGAGGATTCAATGTGAGGGCTTGTCTTGTAACGCAGTTGGGTGCTTTCATCAATGTGTGTCCTATCCACTTCCAGCGCTTCTTCCTGATTTCTTCCTCCGCTGGGATCTGGTTTGTTCTCTCCCACAATAGGTTGTTGCTGATAGTGTCTGGCCAACGGATCCGAAGTATTCTGCGTAGACAACTGTTAACAAACACTTGTATCTTCTGGATGATGGCCTTCGTAGTTCTCCACGTTTCCACCTCATACAGTAGAATTGTCTTGACATTTGTATTGGAAATTCTGACTTTGGTGTTGGTTGATATACAGTTGCTTTGAGTTCCAGATGTTCTTCAGTTATAAATATGCTGCTCTTGCTTTGCCGATCCGCGCCTCCACATCCGCATCAGATCCACCATGTTCACCAATGATGCTACCCATATATGTAAAGGTTTTTACATCTTCCAAATCGTCTCTGTCAATTGTGACTGGATTGGTGCATGCTGTGTGGTATCGGAGAATCCTGCTTTTCCCTTTGTGTATATTGAGACCTATTGCTGCTGAGGCTGCTGCTACACTGGTCGTCTTCTCCTGCATCTGTTGTTGTGTTTGGGATAGAAGGGCCAGATCATCTGCGAAGTCTAGATCATCCAACTGCATCTTAGATATCCATTGTATCCCGCGCTTCCCTTCAGACGTTGACGTCTTCATGATCCAGTCGATCACCAGGAGAAAGAGAAAGGGTGAGAGTAAGCAACCTTGCCTAACACCGGTCTTCACTTCGAACGACTTTGTCAAACGCTAACCAGATACTGCATACACCAACTCTTGGTGACTCTTGGTGACATAGCTCAGAATCGGTCACAATGGCGTCGGTGTATACACTCCCTGTCTTCCCTTAAACTAAGAGATTAAAATCGTTTCATATCTTTCTTTCTACGAACCGATTCTTTCTTCTTGTACTATATCTCTATATGCAATCTTTCTCTTACATATTACTACCTTTAACCTAACCACTGCTATGAATCCGGTGTTCATCTTGTTGTGCTGATGCGGTATGGCAACCTGGACCGATGCACATATGTGCCTGGTCCTACGTTGTAGCTGACTGACTGATACACCAACTCGTAATTCTGGCTTGAAATAGGATTGGGTGAAAAGATAGATACTAATGATCAGGTAAACATAATGCATAAACCCACTAATTCTCTAACTGTTGAGATTAGTCTCTTTGAGATGTGTTGGTTTTCGCTCTGAAATTTCGTAATGTCAAATGCTATGTGTTGTGGACTTCCAGTGAATTCAGAATCAGTAGCATTGTTCCATAAGATACAATACATTAAGGGGAGTGGTTCACCATACTATTATTATATAAACATCAAGCACCAACCAAGCTAATAGTTACTTGTAAAGGAATTTCCAAACTTCATTGCTGTTGATGTTTTATTAAAAAATAATCAAAATATCACAATCACGTTAACTTGAATAACATTTTCTCTTGTAATTATGTTATTCTTTTCCTCAGATTTCTCTTTTCTAACGTTTTTTTTTATACACTGTATTACAACATACCAAAAGTTAAAATTTCTATTATTCTATGTTTGCTTTCTTCGTTTTGATGTGCCATTTTTGAAACTCCCTAAATAAACTTTTATTTTACAAGTATCCTTTTGAATTCAGTGAATGTGTATTATACGTTTAGGATGTAGCCAATCAACTTAACTCTCTCTCTTTCTCTCTCTCTCTCTCTCTCTCTCTCTCTATATATATATATATATATATATATATATATATATATAAAGTCGTTCGTTAGCTACCTCAATATTGTATTATTACTGAAAATACCATTGGTACCATCCTAAAATTATTTCCTATATGATTTTTCTCATACAATTATTTTAGGGTTGGAGATTTTATTTTCTTTTTTATTGTTAGAATAATATACTGATGTGTTCAAACTATAACCGTTTATTCCTATTTGTCTTTTTGTAACAAAGGAGTTATGAATTGATCTACTTAGAATATCCGATTATTTCTAGATTTTGTCAAGTAATTTCAATGTTACTGTCTGTTGATGCTTTATTGCAGATCAATTTTAAACTTCTTACTTAAAATTCTAGTAATAGTAATCATACTTATTTTTATAATAATAATAATACCCTCAAATGAACTAGGAAAGCTATTTCCTGTCATTTTTAATATTCATAAATCGCTGATTATTTCCATTTGTGGATCATTGTATGATCAGGTTGATGCTCTAATGAATTTCACCATAAATAATTTTAGTCATATGTATAATAATCAAAGTTAATCCGATTAAGTTTACTTTAACTGTTAAATAGTGTTGCTGATAATCAAATTCAAAACAGCACTGATAATTAATGATGGATAGTGGCTAGCAGTGGAATCCAGGACGCGCGTTTCGTCCTATTTGGGACTCGTCAGCTGGATGTACCTGTATCTCAGAGTTGATGTTCACTCTGGGACTCGAACACAGTACCATTATAATGTTACTCATAAAAAGATTGCTGTAGAGTAACATCCAGTGACAATACTGTTTTTTTTTCGAAACGACGATGTACGTTGCCTATGGGTCTTGACTGTCGTGAGACCCCAAGTCAAGGTCTCCGTACAAATCGTCTTTAATCACTTAGGATCGTAAACAAAAAGAACGAAATTTGGGAGTCAAAAAATTATTTCGCTATATGCGCAATTAATGAAGTTACTGAGCACTGAGTGAAAATTTCGGTATATATATGATAGTAACTAACATGTATATAGCAATATGATTTTTAGCATTATTATTTACTTACTTACGCCTGTTATCCACAAAGGAGCACAGACCACCGACCATCATTCTTCAACCCACTCTGTTCTGGGCCTTTCTTTCTAGTTCTATCCCATTTTTGTTCATTCTCTTCATGTCTGTCTCCATTTCTCGGCGTAATGTGTTCTTTGGTCTTCTTCTTCAATTTGGCCTTGAGGATTCCAAGTAAGGACAAGTAAATTAATGAAAGTAATGGGTGATTGTAATCTCCTGAATTTCTAATAAGACGTGACATATTTTAATATACAGACTTCAACTAAAAATATATTCTAGTGCTGTGAAAGTCATGAGAGTCAGTAACGAAGATCATCGACCAATACGATAAATGAGCGAATTCACAATTCCATTTTATGAAATCACATCATTTGTCGAGAAATCGATTTATGCGTAAGAACATTTCGAAAAAACTGACTTCTTGTCATTTTATTAAAGCAAAAATCAATATATAATCCAAAAAAGATGTAAAAGAAGTACATTCTCCTATATAAATTTTGTGAATCAGTTATTTCACTCACTATACTTTTGAATAAAGAATAATATTCTTAAGAGCATGATGCATGTTAATGTTAACCTTTTCTGCCCTCTTATAACTTCACTGCGTAACGAAGTAAATATCATTTTCAACTGTGATTAAGTATTTTTTGATAGTTCTACGTAAAATGAATCGAAAGTCAATAACTTTATGAATGACTACTGGCTGAAAAGAATTTATTTTATAAATAACTGAAATAGCTAATTTATCGTCAAAAATGTGGTTATTCGTGAGTTAACAAGGATGTAGAAAACTTTAGCTGTTATCGTAGAAAATAAAATATTACCTACGACACACATATATTACATTAACTGATATACATCCTTGTCACTGAGTTGC